AAATGTTAAAGTGGTTGTTGCTAAGTGGTAGAATGACTGGTGATTTTCAAATGCATCTTGTTTTTTCTTTTTACTTTCCACAGTGAACACTGTTTTGCATAGGGTGCTTTCAATTGCAGGAACTTAAAACTCCACCCATTTTGGCTAAAATGACACAAGAAGTCAACAAATAAGTGAAGATTAGCATCAAGGGAGGTTTAACCCAGTGGGCCAATAATATAACCAAGAGCCTAGTCTCTTTAAAACATGCTTCTAAATAAATACTTACAATTGAACTGTAAGGAAAATATTTCATGACAAAATTTGGGGGATGCACTTAATGTGGAACTTAGAGGAAAACGTTTGGTTTTAAATGTTTATATTAGAAAAGGGAAAATGGCTTAAAATTAATGGGGGTCTGTCCACTTAGGACACTGGAAGAAGAGTACAATAAATCCAAAGAAAATAGAATGAGAGCTATGCCATGGTCTGAATGTGTGTGTTTCCCCAAAATTCAGATGTTGAAATCCTAACTCCCAAAGATGATGGCACTAGGAGGTGGAGCCTTTGGGAGATGCTTAAGTCACGAGGGTGGAGCCCTCATAAATGGGATTAATGCCTTATAAAGGCAGCTCCAGAGAGCTCCCTAGCCCCTTCCCCCACATGAAGACACAATGAGAAGGTGCTGACTGTGAACCAGGAAGTGGGCCTTCACCAGAACTTGCCCATGCTGGCACCTTGATCTTGGACTTGCCGACCTCCAGAACTATGATTTCTCTTGTTTATAAGCTATCCAGGTTATGAAATTTTGCTATGGCAGCCTGAACAGACTAAGACAGCTACTGAGAGTAAAGCAAATATTAATGAAATGGAAAAAATAAAATGACAGTAAAGATGATCAACAAAAGCAGAAGTCAATTGTTGAACACTAATAACAAATAGACTAACCTTGGGCACGATTATCACGAAAAAATTTATCCACAAATAAACAATATTGAAAATGAAAAAGGAGATATTACCATGGATCCAGAAGAGAGTTCTACAAAAGAGAGGGGAAATACTAACAACAACTTTATGTCAAATTTAAAAAATGAGACAAAATAGACACTTTTATAGAAAAATGAAACATACCAAAACTTACCCAAGAAGAAACAAAATCTGAATACTTCTGTGTGTGGTAAAACTTTTAATAAAAAAGTGAAAAGCTTTCCTATTCAGAAGGCTTTCCTGAGGAGTCCTTCAAACATTTAGGAGGGAAATAATACCAGTCTTACACGAACTCTTCCAGAAAATGGAAAAAAGGGTATTGGTTCCAAACTCGTGTTATGAGGCCACTATAAACAGCAACATCTAACAAGGACACTAGAAGAAAGTAAAACTAAAGGCCCAATTCCCTCTCCTGAACATAGACACAAAAGTCTAAAACAAATCATTAGCAGATGAAATTAAATAGTACATTAAAAAGACAAACATTGTGTGGTTGTTGGGTATATCGCTGGAAGGCAAGATTGGTTTAACATTAGAAATATCAATCAACGTAATGCACTACACTAACAACAAAAACCAGGGGGAAAAGACGTGATCATTTTAATAATGGGTTGGTTGAACACCTATTCATGATAAAAACTATCAGCAAGAATAGAATAGAAAGCAACCTCTTTGACCTAAAAAAGTGTCTACCAAAAAAAAAAAATACACAAACACTATATTTAGTGGCAAAATAGCCAACATTGTCTCCTTGAGTTTTAAACAAGATAAAGGTGCCCACTATCTACTCAACAATGTATTGCAGTAGTGCCAGGAAAATATAATAAGTACCAAGTTTGGAAAGTAAGAAGTAAAACTGTCATAATTCACAGATGACATTTTTCTGTACGTAGAATATTCAAAAAGATGGAAAACAATTAGAGTTAATAAGTGAATGTAGCCAGGTTATTGGATATAGGGGCAATTATAAAAAACCACTTGTATTTCTGTATAATGACAAAAATAATTAGAAAAGGAAATTTAAAATACCATTGAAAATAATATCAAAAACATCAAATAATGAAAAATAAATCTAATGAAAGATGTGCTAGAGCACTATGTGGAAAACTATAAAACATCACTGAGAGAAAAAAGACCACAGTAAATGGAGAGAAAAACTTTTTGCATGGATTGAGAGTCTCGTTATTGTCATTATTGTCAATTCTCCCCAGAATGATCGTAACAACCATATTTGGAATTCTACCATGTTAATTTTGGAGGAAATCTGAAAGTTAATAATAAAAAGCAAATAGATGTCCAAGGGCTTAGAATACCAAGACAAACTTCAGGCAAATGAACAAAGTTGCAAGATATACGTTACCAGATACAAGACTTACTGTAAAGGTACAGTAATTAAAAATATGTGGTATTGGAGCAAGTATAGGCAAATACACCAATGGAACAGGACAGAGAGTCTAGAAATAAATCTGGAAATATACAATTGCTAGATTTATGACACTGGGGCCTGCAAATCATTGTGTAAATGATCATCCCTTGATAACAGGGGAAATACATATACAGGGGAAATAAATATACAGTGGAAAATAAATCTTAACTCTTACTTCATTCCATTCCATAAAAAGTTTATTTGAGATGAGTAGAAGATCTAGAAGAAAACTTAGCTTACTATCTTCATGGCTTTACAGTAGGCAAAGAATTTTGTTGAGGAAGATTGGCCCTGAGCTAACACCCATTGCCAATCCTCCTTTTTTTTGCTTGAGGAAGATTGCTCCTTAGCTAACATCTGTGCCAATCTTCCTCTATCTTGTATGTGGGATGCCACCACAGCACGGCTTGGTGAGCGGTGTATAGGTCTACACCCAGGATCCAAACCTGTGAACCTCGGGCTGCCAAAGCAGAGCATGTGAACTTAACCACTACAGCACCGGGCCAGCCCCAGGCAAAGATTTTTAAAAGAATAAAAGCACTAACCATAAAAAATAGATTGATTAATTAGACAATTAAATTAAGAATTCCTGCTCATCAAAAAGAGACTATTAAGAGAGTGAAAAAGCAAAATAGACCTGTAGAAGACACTCAAACTGATATATTTAAATATATGTATACATACATATATGTATTTATATCAAAAAACCTAGAAATCAATTATAAAAATACAAATATCTCAATAAAATATGGGTATAAGGCTTGAAGAGGTACTTCATAAAAGACATGTGAATGGCCAATAAAAGTCATTAATCAGCAGAAAATGCAAGTTTAGACATAATGAGAGATGACGTACCACCCACCAGATTGGCTGAATCGAAAGACTGACTATATAGCATGTGTTTGTGACTATGTGGTGCAACTGGGACTTTCATTCATTACAGGACCTGGATTCCCACATAAATGTCCAAGGCCGTAATTGAAAGGTTAGGTAGAACTCCCTCAAGGCTGAGATATAGAAATCAAGGAAAAGTACCCCACCCCAGGGCTGGGACAGAGCACCCAAGTTACTGCACCCCTCCCCAAAGATGCATTTGAGTGCCCGACTAAGACCTTCCTCCAAAAGGTGAGACAGACGACACCAAGGAGAATCCACTCCCTAAAGCGGAGATGGAGCCCCAAAGAAAAGTCCCCAGAAATGATCAAGGTAGAGGACCTAGGGAAGAGCAGCCACCCATACATAAGTGAGATGAAGGCCCAAGGAAACATCCTCACCCATGGCTGACAAGAACACTCAAAAGAGAATCCCCCTCCTGTGCAGAGATTGACCTTCCAAGGAATAGTCTCAGCTGCCCCACATTTTGGAGGGAGCCCGAGTAAGAGTCCAAACCCCCAGTGCCGAGAAAACACCCAAAATAAAATTCCCCACTCCCCCGCAGCTGAGAGAGAGCAGTCCCTGTCTTAGAGCACCCAAGGAAGAGCATCCCCATAGTACTGTGACAGTTCCCCCAGGACTGAGACAGCCCACCCACTAAGACAAGTAGAACACCCATCATAGTTGAGATAGAGCATGCAAGGGAAAGTGCCCCCTAGTGCTGAGCTGGTCACTCAAGGAGAGTCTTGCACAGGCTGAGATCAAGTCCCCAAGGGAAAGGAACCCAAGGGCTGCGGTAATGCACGTGAGGAAAAGTTCCCCTCACAGGGCTTGGAGAGAGTGCCAAGAAACACCCCCACCCGCAGGACTGAGATAAGCACAAAGGAAGAGTCCCTCCCAGAACTGAGATCGAGCACCAAGGACAGCCCCCTCCTCAACATGACTGAGATAAGGTGCCCAAGGAAAATGCCTCCCGCAGTGCTGAGATCAGCACCCAAGGAAGTGTCTCCACAGAGCTGAGGCAGATCACTCAGGAATATTACCACATCCTAGACTGAGAACATCCAAGGGAGAGACGCTTCAGGGCAGAGACTGAGCATGCAGGGCAGAGAATCCACTCCAAGTGTTAAAATCCTGACCTTCTTGGATGAGCCGGGAAACAACTCACAAAATGGCAGTAAAGTTGTAATAACTCACAGATGGAACTTTCTAAAAATGTGCCCTCTGGGAGTTACCTTCCAGGGTATGTGGGAGTGAGGTCCACAGGGAGGTGTCTCACCAGAAGCAGCCTGATATATTATTACTGCCCAAGGGAGGTGTAAGGGAAGTTGCTGGCCATGGGGTACTGCTGGCCACACTGCCCTGTACCAGCTGGGTGCTGGAGAAGCTGTCTGCGGTGCAGAGTCTGGTGCCAGAGAAGCCTCCTGCCCAGCAGGAGCCTGCTGTGCCAGCAACGCAGAGCCAGGAGGCAGGAGCTGGCCCTATGGTGGAGTGGTTAAGTTTGCGTGCTCAGCTTCGGCTACCCAGGGATTTGCAGGTTCGGATCCTGAGTGTCGACCTAGCACCGTTCATCAAGCCATGCTGAGGCGGCATGCCATATAGCAGAACTAAAAGGACCTACAGCTAGAATATACAACTATGTACTGGGGGGCTTTGAGGAGAAGAAAAAAAGAGAGGAAGATTGGCAACAGATCTTAGCTCAGGGCCAATCTTTATTTAAAAAAAAAAAAAAAGAACTAGGAGGCAAAACTCTTCCTCTGCAATCTCTGGCGCCCTCTACAGACAAACTTCAGTAACAACTGCCACAAGAATATAAAAATTAAAGGAAGCAGGACATTTTTTAAGAGAGCAGGCTAGAAGAGTGAATTCGGAGCTGAGAGGGGATAAATAAAAACCTGGCCCATTATATTAACAGAGAAAGAGGAAGGTTATATGATTACCTAATCGACGCAGAAAACACGCGTGATAAAATGCAACAAATATTCATGAGGAAAAATTAAAAGCGTTTGTTAGAAAGATCTCTACCAGAAATCTATAAAGCACATTATAATAGGGTAGAAACATTAGAAGTATTCCCCTCAAAATCAAAGCAAGGCAGTAGTGTCCACGGTCATCCCTCCTACTCAGACCCGCACTACCGGATTCCTACCTTGCACCTTCAGATAGTGAATAGGGTGTTTACACAGAGTGAGCTCTCAGACTATTTAATTATGGACAAGCCCTGCTTTTCAGAGAGTTGCCAGGCAGGACAAATAGTGACAATTATCTGGGAATATGATGCTGGTGAGCTCCCATCCGTCTTGCCCCCTGGTGGCTGGTAGGTTGCTGGTGTTCAGAGCTCTTCTAGATGTGAGGTCACTGGTTTCAAGGCTACCACGGAGCTGAGGAGAGAGGGTGGGAACAGTGCAAGTGAAAACATCCCTAAGCTCACTGGTCATGTTGTGATCTAGCCATTTTTCGTGAATAAACGCTCTTCAGGTTGTTACAAGCCTTTGGTTAACTCCGGAATTCTGAAAGCATTTATTTTGACAGTATTTGCCAGTGTTCTCATTGCTTTCACGCAGGTATGGATTTTCACGGGCCTTACTCCACCAATCCAGAAGTGCCCCACCATAGATGTTACATTTTCAACTAAATTCAGAGAGTGTATTAGTTTTTTATTTTGTATAGAAAATAGCCCAGATTTAGGGGCTTAAAAATATTACCCAAAACTTAGTGGCTTAAAACAACACCCATTCTTTATTATATCACATTTCTGTAGCTCAGAATTTGACTTGGTGCTCTGCTTCAGTTCTTAAAAGGCTGAAATCAAGATTTTAGCCAAGCTCTGTTCTCATCTGGAAGATCTGGGGTGGAATGAGCTCCAAATTCATTTGGATTGTTGGCAGCATCCAAGTACTTGCTGTATGGGACTGAAGGCCTGGCTGTTTCTTGCTGGCTGTTAGCTAGGACTCACTCTCAACTCTAGAGGTCACCATCAGGCCCTTTTCAGGTGGCTCTCTCCATCTTCAAGCCTTCAAGGACACATTAAATTCTTCCCGTGCTTCAGAACTACCTCATCTGCTTGTGCTTCCAGCTGGAGAAAACTCTCTGCTTAAAAGGCTCATGAGAATAGGTTTGGCGCTCCCATTAACCCCACTACATGAAGGTCAAATGATTAGTAATCTCAGTTACATCTGCAGAATCACTTTTGTCCTGTCCCATAGTGATGGAGTAACACCAGAGGGCAAAGGTCATGGGGACCATCTTAGAATTCTTCCAAGCAAGAGAAAGTAGTTAATGTAGTAGGTGACAGAGCCGTGGGTTTGGGGCCACTTCCTCATGAGAAGTACTTGTGGCTTCAGGGCCTGCTCAAGTCTGAGCTTGTGCATATTCCTTCCATTTGATAAGCGGATGCTTCCATGCATACCCACTGCTGTGACTTTGTGGGTCAGAAAACTCCAAGGTTAGGATGGCAGCTCAGGTGGAACAGGAGCTTCGTGTCCCATGCTCAAACATTCAGTCTCTACTAAGACCAAGTTGTAAGTCAAACGTTTCTCAAAAGAACCAGAATGACATTTATGTCTCTAGGAAATTAGTGCCCGTTCAGAGCTGGGGTCCTGTAATCACCAAGAAATCTGATTATTTCTCTTTCCCAATGTACAGTCACCCTAATAAAGGGTTGCCTCACGCTTTGGGTATGAATGGAAGAAAGATTAATACAAACTTTTCAGTGTAGAGGGGTCCTTCCTCAAGAAGTCTCCCCTTCATACATGAGTTTTTGGATCTTTAAGTTGAGTCTGGGATTTGATTGATTCAGGGACCCTTAGTCATAGTGGGAGTAAGATGAGTATGTCTGGAAGGCAGGAGATCCTGGAGGGCACCTCTGCCACTAATTAAGGTCAGTGGAAATTACAACAACCCAATTCACCCAGGTCTGTTATTGCCCATGAACCTCAGGAGTGAACGTTTTGCTCGCCCTACCAGGAACAGCACTATCACCAGGCAAAGTGCCTGCTGAGGGCTAAGGGAACATGGACTGGGTAACGAGAGAAGGAACCACATGACCGTAGGTGGAAACACAGACTGCAATAATTATGAGTGTTACTTCTTTATCTTTATATGAATTCATTCCCATATATATTAACCAAATATTTTTGGTTTTGACACTCTTTCATCCCCTTATGTAAGCCTTATCAGAAGACAGTTATTTTGTACTACAGATTCTTGTACTTTCATATTAAGATTTGCCTGTGTTTTGGAACCTTCGCAAAACATACTTTCTTTTGTAATATACATGGTTGATGAGAAATTTTAAACATTGTTTTCACCTCAATGCAGAAATACTGTTGTTTTGTTTTTCTTTTAATGCTACCAAAATAAAATACATATTTTTCCATAAAAAAATCCCACCACAGCAGTACTCAAATTAATCAGAAGACTGAAATATTGGGCGGGCATAATTAGAATCATGCCTACCACACAAGTCAAAAGTGCACAGCTGTGGCACTACTGTCCCACTCGGGAACAGCCCTGAAGGACAGTGAAGGGAAATCCTCCCAGAGGGAAGAACCTTGAGCAGTGCCCCTGGTTGTCCACTCTGCCTGGAGGGGAGATGGCCAGAGGTACGAGTGCATACCCATGCATCGGCAGTGTCTGACTCATTGGCTGCAAGGTCAGGGACTTTGAGGGTATGCAATTGAAAATTAGTGACAACGAGGTCTGGGGAAGAGGTATGTGACAGATCTATCTCAGTAGACATACAATGTGAAGATGTTCGTGTCTTATGAGAGTTCTCAGCAAAGAATAACCTCAGCAGAGCAGTATTTTAATAATCTAATGAATAAAGTATGCATTCTCTAGATATCAATCAGCCTCTTTCCCCAGCAGTCGTGTCATAATCTAGTGGGCTCAAGAACTAAGTGGCCATGTGGCAGGGATGGAGGTTATGCTCAGCAACATGGACTTCCACTCACCAAGGCTGATCTCACCACCATCACTTCTGAGTGCACAATCTGCCAGAAGCAGAGAGCAACACTGAGCCCCAACATAGCACCAGTCTCTAGACTGATCAGTCAGCTACCAGATGGCAGGTGATTACATTGAATTCCTTCCATAAAGGAAGAGCTAGTACTTTGTTCTTATCCAAAGAGACACTCTGGATAGGGATTTTCCTTCCCACCTGTTGGGCTTTTGAGAAACCAATATTCATAGACTGGAAAAATGCCTTACTCGCCATCATGGTATTTCAAACAGGATCACTTCTAAACAAGCAACTCATTTCACAGGAAATGAATGCAATAGAGCAATGTTCATGGAATTTACTGGTCAAATTACATTTCCCCTCATCCTGAAGAAGAATGACCTTTAGAAGACTCACGTTTCTAGCTAGGTGGCAATAACTCAAGGGGCTGGGGAACAGCCTCTAGGAGATGGTAATTCTCTAAGCAGTCATATGCATAAATACATGGTGCTGTTTCTTCCATCGCATGGATTCACGGGTCCTGCAATCAAGATAAGGAAATGGGAGTGTCTCCCCTCACTATTACCCCTAGAGATACAATAGAACATTTTTGCTTCTTATCCCCATAATTTAATGTTCTTCTGGACTAGAGATCTTAGTTCCAATGAAAGAAATGCTTTTTCTGGGGGATACAACAATGACTCCATTGAATGAGAAGTTAGGACTTCCAGCTGGCCACTTTGGACTCCCATCCCTCTCAATCAACAGGCGAAGAAGGGCTGTACTGTACTGGCTGGGTGACTGAACCTGAATATCAAGGGCAAATTGAATTCCTACTACAAAAAGGGCTATGGAGGAGTACGTCCTGTACGTCTACAGAGCTTCTTGGTACTCCCATGTTTTGCAATTAAAGTCAATGGATAGTGTCTGTATATCAAATCACCATGATGTACACTTTAAAAATCTCACAATTTTATTTGTCAATGAAGCTGAAAAAAAGCCAATGGATAATTATAATAACCTAATTGAGGCAGAACATCAAATGGTCAAATCATTCAAGAATGAAGATTTGAGTCATCCTCCCAGGCAAAGAACCATGAAGAGCTAAGGTTCTGGCTGAGGACAAAGGTAGTAATGTAACCTGCTGCAGAAACCAGGACTGTAATAGTATTTAGCCTGATGAGTTAATAACATACCCCTCCTCACGTGGGAAAACAAATAAGAAAGCAAACTATATTTTCAAAGGAAATTCTTAGGGCCAAAGCCAGATTTTACTGACAGAGAATCATAACATTAAAAAGCTCTACTTCCTTTCCTTAACCTCTGGAAGGCAATTCCCTTGAGTGCCATATTCTAGGAAACTACAGCAATATCCAGCGCCATTCTACAGCATAGCAAACTTGTCCTTGTTTCTCACGGATAGTTGTGATAACAGGATTAACTTTTTTATGTAATTAACTTTGTTGTGAGGATGGTGGGAATTTATTTTTTCTAGTACCTTCTCAAGGTCCTGAGTCTTCTTTTAAGCCTGAAAATAAAAAGACATTTCATTAACCAAAAGATGGCTAAAGCACCTATGTTGTGCAAGACATTGTGAGAGATACAAAAAGGAATTTATAATATACATGGGATCATAAAGTGAATCCTCACTGAAAATTGGAGGATACAAGATCAACACAAAAAAATCAGTTGTGTTTCTATATACTAACAATGAACAATCTAAAATGGAAATTAAGAAAGTAATTCCAACTAAATTAGTATCAAAAAGAATAAAATAGAAATAACCCTAACAAAGAAGGTGAAAGATTTGTATACTGAAAACTACAAAACATTGCTGAAAGAAATTAAAGAAGACACAAATAAATGGAAAGACATCCCATGTTCATGGATTGGAATATTTAATATTGTTAAGATGCCCATACTATTCAAGGCAATCTATAATGCAATCCCTATCAAAATTCCAATGGCATTTTTTGCAGAAATAGAAAAATTCATCCTAAAATTCATATAGATTCCCAAGGGACACCAGATAGCCAAAACAATTTGAAAAAGAAGAAAAAAATTGGAAGACTCATATTTTTTATTTCAAAACATATTAAAAAGCTGCAGTAATTAAAACAGTATGGTACTGGCATAAAGACAAACAAATAGACCAATGGAATAGAATAGAGATCCTAGAAATAAACCCTTATGTATAGAGTCAAATACTCTTCTGCAAGGGTGCCAAGACTACTCAATGGGGAAAGGAGTCTCTTGAAAATATGGTGTTGGGAAAACTGGATATCCACATGAAAAAGAATGAAGCTGAACACTTCATCTTACACCATAAACACAAATTAAGTCAAAATGGATTAGAGACCTAAATGTAAAACCTAAAACTATAAAACTCCTAGAAGAAAACATAGGGACAAAGCTTCCTGACATTGGACTTGGTAATAATTTCTTGGATATGACACCAAAAGCACAGGCAGCAAAAACAAAAAGAGACATATGCTGTGTGTAGAGAAAGTTTCTGCAGGGGAGGGAGTTCATAAGTTCAGCTTTTGACACATGGAAAGGGTTGAATTTTAAATTTAAATCAATAAAACTTAAAATTAAATTTAATCATTTAAAATTAAATCATTTAAAATTAAATCAATAAATTTAAATTCTCTTAGACACACAAGTGGCGATACCATGCATGCATTTGAACTTGAGTCTGGAGTTCAGAAGCAAGTTGTAGTCTAGGTATAAGTCTGGGAGTTGTTGAAATACACATCGTATTTAAAGCTCCAAGACTATGTGGGATCATCTAGAGAGGGAAGGTACTCAAGAGGAGAAGGTCCAGGATCCAGATTAGGGGACCTACAATATTTAGTGGTAGGAATGAAAAGAAACAACCAGAAAAGGAGAATAAAAAGGAGTGCCAGTAAGCAGGGGAGAAATCAGGGAAACGTGGTTTCTAGAAACCCAGGAAGGTTTCCATGGAAGAGTGAGTGAACAACTGTGTCAAATATTGCTGAGAAGTTAAAGGCAACAAGTAGCAGACACTGGGGACTTGACAAAGACAGTTTCAGTAGAGTAGAGGAGGCAGAAACCAGACTGTACTGGGTTAGAGGATGAACAGGAGGTGATGATATGCAGAGAGGGAGTGGAGACCCATCCTCTTGTTAAGCCCGTCATCTCCTATTGCCTCAGGAACCAGCTTCATCCTTCTAACTCTTGCAGCAACTGAAAATGGTTGCACCTCATTAGATTCTTTCCCTTCCACTTGCCAAAATGCTCATATCTCTCTGTTCCTCAAAGACATAATTATCACCTTCCTCCCTATTTCATTAACAGCAAGGGCATACTCTACCTTTTCTTAGATATGGAAAGATGTTGGGTTCTCTAGGACTTTTCACTTTGTTTTCAGACCCTGCAGCAAACTCATCTGCTTCATCAGTCCTCATTCACTGAAAAAAATCAATCAACATATTCCATTAATGCTAAAAATGCAATCATCACAAAACTGGAAAGTCTTCACATGTGTATACAATCATGCACTTGCATCAATATAAGTTTTAATCATGGGGCAAAAATTTACCATCCCCCAAGAAACACTCTGTTCTCAGAAATGCAACTTCATTTTAATCCAGTCTATGTGAAACAAGGAGGAAGTTAAAGTACAAGGTGTTGTCCAAAGCCAAACGTGGTACCACCATGATTAATCAGAATGTTTGGGGAAGGAGAGGCTCGCATCAACCCAAAGGGGACAAACGCAGTTATCCACGGAAGAAGTACAATCCATTCTGCATCAGCCCTTTTCAGGGGAAATCATTCTTTTTTTTTTTTTTTTTTTGCCCTTTTATGCTTTAAATTCATCATTAACTTTTTTTTTTAACATTGGAACCTGAGCTAACATCTGTTGCCAATCCTCTTTTTTTTCCTTCTTCTTTTTCTCCCCAAAGCCCCCTGGTACATAGTTGTATACTCTAGTTGTGAGTGGCTCTGGTTGTGCTATGTGGGACGCCGCCTCAGCATGGCCTGATGAGTGGTGCCATGTCCTCGCCCAGGATCCAAACCTTCAAAACCCTGGGCTGCCAAAGTGGAGCATGTGAACTTGATTACTTGGCCACAGGGCCGGCCCCACCTCATTAGCAAATATTGATTACCCTTTACCCAATGGTACACATAGATGTTGAAGGGTAGGGTAGTTTGAAAATGTAAGTCCTCTCACTCCCAAACACAGAGAGATTCAAATATGTCCACCTACGTGCTGGGTGGAGGGGGTACTTTTCAATGTTGGGGATGAGGGCCAGAAGTATAGAAAGTCATCTTTAAGCTGTTATCATCCAAGGATAAGCAAAGACTATGCCCTCCATTATTTGAATAGAATCATGATAAACAATTTTCCATACCATTTCCATTTCCTATAATAGAAAAGCACAAAGAGAGTAAAACACTTCATTGAGCATTTACCACCTGCCAGGTACTATTCTGAATGCTTTACAGGTGTTAGCTCACTTAATTCTCTGCAGAGCCCTGTGAGTTAGGTGTGATTATCATCCTCATTGTTATAAACGAGGAAACCAAGGCACAGAAAGAGTAAGGAAAACTCTCATTAATTGAGGATTGGGGTGAGGTGGACTACCATTAAGCCTAGTTCTGTTGGACAAGGATTACTGCATGTTCTGTGCCTTAATACCAATGGTGTCTTCCATGAGTGGAGATATAACGTGTCTCCCCATCCCTGCCAGGGCGGAGATAGAGCCCCAAAAAAGAGCCACCCTTCAGGGCTTAGAAAGAACACACAAGGAAAAGTACCACTCGCAGGTCTGAGTTACAGCACCCAAGTAAGTGCCCCCACCAGGACTGGGACACAGCACCCAAGGAAAGCCCCCATACTGCAAAGCTGAGATAGGGTGCCCAAGGGAAATTCCCCTCCCCCCAGTGCTGACAGAAACACCCAAGAAAGAGTGCTGCACCTGGGCTGAAATAGAATACCCAATGAGAAGTCCTCTCCAGGGCTTAGAGAGCTTAAGAGGAAAATCCCTCCCTCCAAAAGGACGGAAGTCCGCATCTTGTTGGAGAGGCCCAGCTGTGACTCAATGTATGGCAGAGAATTTTTGTGGTGCCAGAAACCCAGCCTCTAGAATTAGAGATGTAGTGCCCCAGGAAGAATCCCTTTGTCTAGGACTGAGATCAAACACTCAAGGGAAAAGCCCCTCCTTTAACACAGCTAAGATAGAGGGCCCTAGGAGGGCTCCTCCCCATCTCCACAGGGCTGGGACAGGGCACTCAAGTAAAAGCACTCACCCACCCACCCCCAGCTAAAACACAGCATCCAAGGAAGAGGCCCTATCCCAGGGCTAATCTATAGCCCCCAAGGAAGAGTCCGTCCCACAGGGCTGAGACACAGAATCTAAGAAACAGCCCCAAACCCAAGGGCTGAGATGGAGCAATCAAGGAAGAGACTCCCCACTGCATGGCTGATGAGCAAGCAAGGAAAGCCCCTTCTCCCCAACAGAGCTGCGATAGGGAGCGCCCACAGGCAAGTCCTCCCCTAGTACTGAGATAACCACCCAAGGAAGAGATCCTCCTCAATGGACTGAGATAGAGCACCCACGGAAAGTCCCCTCCTCAACACAGCTGAGAGAGAGCGCCCAAAGGAATGTTCTCCCCGCGCCGAGACAGTCACCCAAGGAAGAGTCCCCCACATGGCTGAGGCATGACACCCCAGGAAGAGTTCCCCCTCCCAGGGCTGAGATAGGTCACCCAAGGAACAGTACCACCCCCAGGACCGAGAACACCCAAGGAAGAGTTTCCTTCCAGGGTGGAGATAAAGTACCCAAGGTAAAGCATCCCCACCCCAAGGGGTGAAATCCTGACCTTATTGGAGATGACTAGAAGCAACTCAGAGAATGGCAGTAAAGTTGCTGTGGTGCCACATCAGTAGAACTTTCCAGAAACCTGCCCTCTGAAAGTTGCCGGAAATATGCCTTTGGGGTATCTGGGAATGTTGTACACAGGAAAGTGTCTCACCAGAAGCAGTCTGATGTATTACTTCCCAACAGGGGTTCAAGGGAAGCTGCTGGCTATAGAGTGCTGCTGGCCACACTGCCCCGTACCAGCCAGGTGCCGGAGAAGGCTGTGTGCGGTGCAGAGCCCCGTGCTAGAGAAGCCTCCTGCTTCTCTGTCCTAGCAACGCAGAGCCAGGAGGCAAAACTCTTCCCCTGCAATGTCTCCGGCGCCCTCTACAGACAAACTTCAGTGACAACTGCCACAGGAAAAAAAAAGAAAGGAACCAGAACCATTTTCACAGATCAGGACAAACAGGTGAATCTGAAGCTGAGAGGCAATAAATAAACAACCAGCACACTGTATAAACAAATAAAAGAGGAAAGTCATACAATCATCCTAATGGATGCAGAAAATATGTGATAAAATGCAACAACTATTCATGGGGGCAAAATTAAAAGCATTTCTTATGGTCCAGAAAAAGAGACGATTGATAGATGATACAGATAGATCATAGATAGACGGATAGATAGATAGATCGTAGAATAAATCTTTTCCAGCACAAGGTAAACTATTGTTGAATCTGGTGAAAGAGTTAATGGTAGTTCTTTCTACCACTTTTGTAAACTTTCTGTAAATTTTACCAGAATAAAGTTACAAAAAGTAAGAAAACAAAAAAAAATTATTTGTTAAGAAGTGAATCTCCCACAAATCTACAGTGCATATTATTCCTAGTGGTGACAAATTAGAAGTATTGGAAGTATTCTTCGTAAGATCAAGAACAATAAAAGATGTCCACTATCACCACTTCTATTCAACACGGCACTACAAGAATCCTTAGCTTGTACCCTAAGACAATAAAAGATAAGTTATTTGGCCAAACTAAAGACTCAAAGCAATCTATAGACAAAGAGTTTAACAAGGAGGCTAGGTATAAAATCAACACATAAAAGTTAATTGTATTCCTATATAACAGCAACAAGAAATTTAGGAAATGTAAGTTTTTAAGCTATTATTAAAATTAGCAAAACTATATAAGGAATAAATATGTAAATATATATATAGGAATATATATTGTATACATGGAACATATTTACAGAATATATATGATACATATATACATGGAGAGAGAGAGTGCATGGAATGAACATAACTGTGTAAAACAAATATGCAGACAATTATAAAATTTTATTGAAAGACATCAGAGAAGACTTACACAGAGCACTACACCACACATAGGAAGACTCGGTGTCTGCTTCCACCAGCTCTCAATTTAATGTATGAATCTAGCACAATTACAATCAAAATCCCAACAGGGTTTTTCAGGGAACTTGACAAGCTGATTCTGAAATTTATATGGAAAAGTAAATGCCCAAGAATAGCCAAGACAAACGTGAAAAAGAACAAACTGGGGGATGTGCCTTATTATCAAGACTTATTACTAACCTTTAGTAACAAAGACAGCGTGACACAGAGGCAGAGGTACACAAATTGAACAATGATACGGAATAGCAGAGCCCAGAAATAGTCCCATGAATATATGGAAATCTGATACATTTCAGAGGGTCATTGTAGATCACTAGGGAAAGAAGAGACTTTCTTTTTGCAGTGTATGGCCCTGGGACAATTGGCAATCTACATGAGAAACAATGCAATTAGATCTCTTCCTCACACCATATTAAAAAAACATTTCAGATTAAGTACTTAAATGTGAAATTAAAAATTAAGACTTTAGAAGAAAATATACAAGAGTATCTTTAAGATTTCAAAATAGGAAAAGATTTCTTAAAGAGGACACAAAAAATGCTAAAGATAACAGAAAAAGTTGATGCAATAGTAATGGTAATACTCTCATTTTTAAGTTTGATAGTAAGTTTACACATGTCCCTTTTAAGTTTCGTCTTACATATATGCTCCATATATTTTTGTATGGACCAAATATTACATTGTAAAACACTTGACTGCAAAAAGAAAGGTAGATAAATTATGGCAGAGAAAGAGGTCAGTATCCTTAATAATCATGGAAGAAATAAGCCCAACTTTTAGCAGAATTCTAGTCTTACTAGTGAACCTGTGATTTAAAGAAATTACTATAAAAGCAAGGTTAACATTAAAGGAAATCATAAAAACAAAAAAAAAATCCTAGCAAGCTGTTATTTTTAATGAATGCTTGTTTCATCCGATGAATGCAAAGATGGGTCAACATTCGAAAATCTAGTCTTATAATTCACCATTTTAATAGGTAAAAAAAAATGATTATCTCAATAGATACCAAAAATGCATTTGACAAAATTCAAGATTCATTCCTGAATTTTAAAAACGATAACAAAGAGTAAGATACAAGGTTAATATACAAAAGTCAATTGCTTTCCTAAATACCAATGACAAACGGAATTTGAAATTTAAAAAAACAGTACCATTTACAATAGCACCAAAATGATGAAATACATATAAATCAAACAAAATATGCACAGGATCTCTATGTGGAAAACTACAAGATCTATATAAATGTAGAGATAGCCCATGTTCACAAATTGGAAGATTCAGTATTAACAGGTCAATTCTTCCCAATGTGATCTGTAGATTCAAAGCAATCCAAATCAAAATCCCAGTAAGTTATATTGTAGATATCGACAAACTGATTCTAAAGATTATAGGGAAAGATGAAAGACCCTGAATAGCCACCGCAACACTAAAAAACAAGAACAAAGATGGAAGATTCACACTACCCAATTCCAAGACTTAGTATAAAGCTGCAGTAATCAAGACAGTGTGGGACTGGCAAAGGAGTAGACATGTAGATCAATGGAATAGAGTA